TTCAACTGCTTACATTTTCTCTTCATTGGAACATGCGAATATCTGCCCCCTCTCATCCATTGTGCTCTTTTGCTTATCCTTTCTTCTCATAGCCTTAGCTAAACATACCCTTTATTTTCTGTTGAAAGCCCTAGCTAGTGTAAAGTAAAACACCTCCGGTCATGCATAGGACCTTACACTTCCAGACTACCGTAACTTTGGCCATAGGGTAATTCGATGCCCTGATTACGAAAATGACATTCATTTTTAGCGGTGGCGCCATCTGGCGCCAGTTGGCGCCACCTTGTCACGACCCTGTTTTCACCAAAATCGGTGTAAACTTCAGTATAGGGGTTATTTGGTACCCTGATTACGAAATGACATTCGTTTTTGGCACACGTGCTGTTCAACGCATATTTATACAACACATTTTTATCCAGTGGAAGTTCGCAGACGAGCAGAAAATAGGTGTCAAATGACGCTGGCGCCAAGAACGAATATCATATTTCCAATCAGGACACCAAATAAGTTCTACACGGAAGTTTACACCAAATTTGGATGCGAGACAAGAGTCCCCTCCCTGAGGTCGCCGCGCAAGCGAAAGTAGGTCACCGCACGCGGCGGCTACCGGTCCTTGCAGGTTGGAACGTGGCAATTTGCTAGGACTAAGCTAAAACAAATGCAGAAATGGGGACTACACAGACGGAACAAAAAAGCGTTGTATCGATCGTCAGAGAGGCAGGTCCTAAACTTGGCCGATTCAACTGCAAAAACGCCGGCGACGTCGCGCGCGGTGACCTAGTTTTGGCGCGGCGGTCGCGGGGACTTTTGACCGTCTCCCCACCAAATTTGATGTAAACAAGGGTCGTGACGGTCGTTTATACGGCGGCGTCCAACTGGCCGCCACCGCTAAAAACGAATGTCGTTTTCGTGATCAGCATATCGAATTACCCCTATGGGCATGTTACGGTTGACTCTAGATGTACTCAAGTACACTGCACCAGCGGAGGTGTTTTTACGTGAAATTGGCTAGGGTTAATTTACCAGGGTAATTACAAACCCAGAAATTTTCGTAACTCCACTATTTCAAATGGTGCTAATGGGTTGGGGGGGGGACCACGCGCGGCGCGGCGCTCTGTTCGTCTGCTCCTCCAAGGCTTAGTCCAGGGGCAGTTACTATTTCGTCGCCACGTGGCAGTTTCGAAATACGCGCCATCGGCGGACTAAGCCTTGGAGCAGACGAACAGAGCGCCGCGCCGCCGCGTGGTCCCCCTCCCCCCAACACAAGAACTTAAACGCCAATGTGAACATTTGCGTTCGTTCGGCGGCTGCGTCGCGGCTCCGCTGGAGGAGCGCGTTGTTCTTGCTTGACGCATGGACGCAACACGTTGCTCATTGCGTAGCGGTAATGTGCACCAAATGTTCTAGTTCATTGGTACATTGAAAGATTGAGAGGCACTCAGCCGTTAAGTGGGGGCATGTGGTGCGACAGTTCATATTGCATGAAGTAATCCACTTTTTTCAGGGGAGGGAAGCTCCGGGGTGGGTGTAAAAGTTTAAGCGAAATGGTTCACGCACCCCGGGGGATTCCCTCCCCTTGCAAAATTGGAATTTCTGTAGCCGGCAAGAACTGCAGCACCACATGCCCCCCCCTCCTCACCGGATGGGCGACAATTGAGAGATTGTTTCGATAAGATTCTGTACGTATAGACTGATCTTAGTGACGACTGATCACCTTCTCTCCAAATCACATCATTTCAGTGAGTACTCAAATACCTAGTCTCACAGTCTACCAAATCTTGGAGTATGAACCAGGCTCAATAAACGTTAGCGAAACTTTTTTTAGAATAACTTTTACATCGAAAGTCGCGTTCGAAATAAGTCGTGTTCAACAAAAGCAACTTCGGCGATGAACATCTCGAGGAACCGCCAGTTCGGTAAGTCACTCTTCTGCAATTTCAGAAAACCCATAGTTAGTGTATGCAAATAAGAAGTAGACTGGGCGAAAATTCGAAAAGCACAAACCTGCAAGTGGAACATCTAGTGCATAAAAAGGTATAAAAAGCACTACTATCAGATCTCTATTCAGTAGAAATCACTGCCGTTACATCTGGCCTCGGGCCTAACCATTTTTGTCAGCATCCTAACGCCAGAGTCAGCGGCTTCAATTAACACCACTTTTACCAAAATTAATTGTTATCGGTACAGGTTCGTCTATTCAGAAGCCGCTTTATCATGATGTTTTAGAAAGACCGGTGGTGCTGGTGTCAGTGCTTCTTTCTCTAAACAAGTTAGAGACGTTCCACTAGCGAACGTTGTCGGGTTCAAATACTTGTGCCTGAACCGCATCCTCCCTCGCTGATAGCCCTCCACATCAAAAACAAATGCAGTAACCGCCCCTCTGTTCCGCACAACCGCAACGCAATAATTCTATCATGACGACAACGCGGGGGATATATATCCGCGCATTGCAGGCCGTGTCGGACCGTGCGGGGGATATATCCCCCGCACCCATTACACTAATTTTTTTTCGCGCACGCCTGGTTCTTCTAGAAGTTTCTTGTAATTATTAAATGGAGGAGACCTTAAACCTAGCTACAAACATAGTGGCCCATAGAATGGTCCGCGATACTCCAAATTAAGAGATTTTAAACCATTACAAATCCTCACTCAATAACTTTCGTTACTTTTCTTTATCCTGGAGTTAAAATAGAGCTAGAATAGATACGTACGCTTAGGGAGACAAAATGTGTTCTAATGAACACCAAACTAAGATTGCCTTGACGTTCATTCGCTTGTTCTGAAGAACCACCCCACTTTTTTCATTGTTATTCCATGTTTTTCAATAGAATTCCCACTACTGTACCTCCGAGTAGGTTGTGCTCATTACAATATACTGATCTGGTCTTATATTGATCATTATTTATGTTTTTATCACTCAAAATTTGCTTGAACGACCTGAGGCGGCCGCGCCCGCAAAATCGCCCCGGTCCCACGTGGCCAAAAAAGCCAAAACTCGCGTTGTCGTCAATGTGTTAAAGAAACGGCGTGTCGCGTAAAAGCGTCAAGCAAGAACAACGCGCTCCACGGTGGAGCCGCGACGCGGCCGCCGAACGAACGCAAATGTTCCCATTGGCATTTAAGTTCCTATCCCCCCAACCCACTTAGCACCTTTCGAAATTCCAATCTTTATTTCAAATCTTCGGGATTTCATGTTCGTGTGCAAGAATCACGTGAAGATTGTCGCGGCGTGTGCCTTAAATTCTGCCAATCTATGAACGTTTTCTCGCGTCCTTTTTTTCCTTTCTCTCTTTCTGCTCCTTTTTTGTCCTCTTCATCACTCCAGAGGACTTCGTTTCTCAATTATTATTAAATCAGGAATCTATGAAATGCAGCAGTTTAACATTTATACAAACGACTTCTTCAACGACGTCGACAATAAACAGCTACTCTCTTTGTCACTCCTATGATACCTGCCGGAGGACATTATTGGAATTTTGGGTTAAATGTTAAATAAGAAACTAGCACTTTCAGGGACATTCACATTTACAATCAACTACAGAACCGATAAAAGATGCACAATTGAACATGAATAAATTAATGGACAACAAGTAAGCTGTCCGGCGATCAATAATCATAAAATGCAGAAAGAACTAGTTAATTACGCAGATGTGAAATTCTCGACTAGGGAGTAATTTAAAAGCTTTCTATGATAAGATGGATAAGTATGGGTGTTAATACAGACACATGAGACACACTGCACTTCTTGAGAGCCCTTGGCCTCACACTTCGACGTGATTATCAGAGCGGTGTTTGCAGACCGGTCTGAGAGAGGGCGACGGTCACGTTCTCACCGTCCTCTTCAAAGTTAAAGTTCGTTGAAAAAGCTGAACGACATCACTATTATTTGTTTGAATGACATTGATCGTCATGATCCAAATGTACATTACTCACAAGCGCTTCCCCCAGAACCCGGTGATTGCGAAAGGCGACCCGGACGTTGACTGTGGGAAATGGTCTGCCTAAAGTCGAGCGGGAAAGCATAAATCAAACATACTACTGGAAAAAGGTGGTTCTTACATAAGGGTTCGATCGCGGTAGACGTCTTGGCTCATCTTTCGGTGGTTTGCCATGTTCAGATGACGAACGATTTTCGGATTGTAGCATTTCGGATCCGACACCATTCGCACCAGGAAGGATCTTGAACGGAGATTATTCATTAGTAAATTTCCAGAAGTCAAAGGTATGATCTCGGTGTTAGCACATGCGATAGGTTATTTGCCTCTAAGCTTGTTGGGCTCACTATCAGTTTGCATGTAATAGTGTGACCACGCAGCACCACACGACTCGAAGCAACAATTGCAGAAAGAATTAGCGGTTGAAAACCGTCGGTTATGAAGTTGTATGTGAAAAGTTGACCGATAGTGAAGAAAAACAGAAAAAGAAGAACGTCGAATAGGGCTTTAAATAAGGTCTCCCCTTTGCCGTTTAGCAATTAGGGCGCCCGGTGCCGCCGCGCCGATCCCACACCCACCTTTTCTACCGGCTTCCCAAGGTGAGTTTTTGTTCAGTTCATAGGTGTTTAACCAGGGGCCAGTGCTCTCCCCACCTCAGCACCATCGAATGTTCAAATCCCTGCTGAGAATGTTGTTTTAACATTCTTTAATTACCAAGTTTGAGCAATCTTCAGCGACATCTTTCCTTACCCAAGAATACGATCCAACAGTGCTCACACCGAGAATCTTGAGCTTTACACCTGCCCTACGCAAGCGCAAACAGCAGCCAAAAAACCAAAGCAGAAGGTGCAAAGTGATGGTGGGCAAGCGTGACGCAGTATTACCGTAAACACCGAAGTATTTTACTGCACGGGAGCACCATCCGCTGGTTCTACATCGACACACCAGCGATGAAACTCTTTAACCCGCAGATATATGATGGAGGACAAAATAGCAGTAACAGATATGCTAAATGATCAGATTTGGTTGCCTCCGGCACGAATTACAGTTCACACACAAGCTCGGGATACGCTTTGACGTCGGAGTTTGTCGCTTCATGTTACATGTCACATTTTTCACTGGCGAAATAACTTACAAGGGAGGTCTTTCAAAGGCAAAACTCCGGGATTGAACTAGTGCTATCAGCGCTCTGTAGTGATACCTTAGCTGCGGAACGCCCTGAAAGTGGGAAGGAAAGCAAGAGAAATCCTTGAAACGCTGAAACTTAAGGTCTTAACCTTTAACAGGGCCGGATGTGGTACGATGGCGAGAAAGGGCGGTCAAAGAAGACAAAATACGCTAGAGAGCACGTCGTTTAAAGGAATCTTCCATGGATCATGGGCGGGACCGGAAAGTTTTTGTGACGAAATGCATGGTAGGTACGGATCCACGTGTCGAACGCACGAACGTGAACAGGATTCACTTCAAACCTTCCCATGAACGTGGATCCGTACCTACCATGCATTTCGTCGCAAAACCACTTCCGGTCCCGCCCACTGGTCCATGGTCCGTGGAAGATTCCTTTAAGAGAGCACGCTGATCTCTACATCAATGCACGCTGATCTCACCACATCTCGCGGTGGGTGGGAAGCGTTGGAAGGGTCGATGGTTGCAGGCCCGTAAGGATTAGCGCCCTAACCGCGCAATTTTTGCGACGAAGCTGGAGTGATCTAGGTAGGTACGGACCTTACAATTTCCCGGGTATCCCTCCTACTAGTCGGGCCAATCCCGGGGTTTGCCTTAAGGCAAGCCGCGCTTTTCGAAAGGTGTTTTGCATGTTATAGGAACTCATGCGTGGACTACAGAACCAAGGTCCATTTTCGCTGAACGGCCCGAGAAGGCCAAAAAATGGTGAGGAAATGGTCCAAGGATCAATCCCCTGATGACAAAATTTTTGCATTTTAGTTGGAGCTTCCAAATTTTCCCAAAATAGCACCAGCGCAAAAACTAGATATCATATATATTATCAGGGCCACCGGTAATATCAAACTCAGATTTTAACTGTTGATAGTTAATCTAATTTTAACGGTGGTAGAGATTACCTCTTTTATACGGGCAAATTTGAGTGTTTTCAATAGAAATTCTGAAATTCTCCCTGTACTCTGCTTCCATGCAACTATTCCATGTTTCTATGACGCTCTGAGACTTTCTTACCTTCTCAAAATAAAATTTCTGGATGTATGATAGACAGCAAAACCAGTGAACTAAAAAGAAGAAAACAGAAGAAAATCTAGCCACTACAAAAACGTGCAGAATCTACCGCTGCAGCAATCACCCACACATCTGTCTTGTACTTATCAAGCATTCGCGGAAATCTCCGGTTCTTGAATTTGCGGTTGTCGACTGTGTAATTGATATTTGTACGTGCACGCTCAAAATTTAGTGATTTCAGGGGCAGACCTTGGCAAATATGGACGAGCGGCCTGAAATCCGCGAAGTGGAACTCAAGTTCCCCGGTTGACCACCGCACTGAACGAACATACCGTCGCAAATTCTGACATCGGCCTAAGGGCTAGATCGCCGGAGGTGAAGAACTAGCGAGTTGGGAAGCCGGAGAGAAATCCAGGTCCTTGAGAATGTCCCCTACATGAGCCTCCCTTCACCCCCTCCCTTCGACTACGATCCTCGATGGCTGTTGCTGAGCTTTTTAAGCGTGAAATAATTGTAAAACCAGTCAACACGCCTCAACTCTGCCCACATTTTCCCTCCAGAAGTTCCTTTTTAATACTTACCGCCGAGCGAATGGCCAGGAGATGGGGAGGGTAAATAACAAACTCCTCCTCTTGGAATCCATGCTAAGCCTGTGGTGGCTGAAGGCTATCCGGGACAAAATGGGTGTGTAAACAGCGACCAATAATGAAGCTGGAGGTGAGAAGTGGTGTAGGGAAGAAAAAGAAAGCAGAACGATTCCCCGATTTCACCCCGAATAAAGTTGCACACTTTTTCAGCCTTGGAATGGAGAAGGGCGTGTTTGGACGAGTTTTACAAACGGTTAGCTCCAATGCTTCTGTGGCAATGACCTCGAGTTGGAATGCAGGCGTTGCCGCAACTGCGACCGCGCTACTCTCGCGGCTCCGCCGCGGCAACCTCTTGCGGAAGGCGTGGCTTGATGAGGATTGCAAGTCGAGCACGCCTTTGTCGCGTATTTTCATGCCGCAAGGGCGGGACGTCAACGCTTGTCCGTCTGTCTACCACAAATGGAGATGAAACAGGGGAATGTGCGTTATCTCGGAACCTTTAAACATGGCGTATTAGTGATCCTAACCTTCAAAAGACACTGTTTGTTCCGCCGGATTCCGCAAAGCCCTGATAACTACAATTATAGATCCTTTGCCAGCTAGCGAAAGCAGACTGTAACTACAGAACTAAGGACACGTCACACACGTCACCATAACACCAACCGTCTTTTCGCGAGAGTTTCGTTGCGTTTTTGCGCTAGCATCTCCTCCTTTGACAACTGAGAATCGGCGAGAGCCCGTTCTCTAGCCGCATCCGCTTCAATCTTAAGCAATTTTGAGCAATCAAATTCATTCATCTTTTCAATACCGCACCTATATGCGCTTTCAAAGCGGCACGTAGCAAGAAATTTAGCCAGGAAGTCGATAACCACATAAACACCTACTCGACCAGCAGCATCAGCGTCATATCCCATTTCCTCCAACTGCTCAGCCTCCTTGTCTTCTACGATCGGAAGAGCCGCTCCCTCATCTGTAACGCGAACAAATAACTCATAATATTACTTTTTTGCGATCAATTGGATATCACAGTCGGTATGAAGCAGAAGGAATGGATAATGAGTTAGCCAAAAGTCACTCTGCTGCAAAATAAACGAAGATTACAAAGAAGAATCTGGAGTAGAATACCATTGTCTTGAATATCCGTTCGTTCCGAATTTCCGTTCGCTGATTTATTTTCGATGTAACCCATAACCCAAGTGGGCCAACGCAAAGGTATAGCCCTGCTGAGCACCGGACCTGTAGCCCTGAACCGGGTACCCGACAGAAGATCCGTTGAATGGCGAGAAAGCAGAGACGCAGACGGGTCAGCGGTAACGCTGCAGCACCTGCCAGTAATGAGGGACACACTATATATTAGGTTGTCTCATAAGTAGTGTCGCTTTTTTCAACCAAAAATTTTCATCTAAATCCCCATGCTTTTACATCGGTCATATACCATTCGAAAGAGAATTGTCTGCTCTACAAGATGCTATGTTCCTCTTCCACCTCTGTTCCAGGGTTTTCAAATTTTAGGCCTGCGAAATGGGAGGTCCAGCCGACAAAAATTGACCAAACCGACAACTATCTCTAACTTTATCTTCCCTTGGGAGAAATCAATCAATGATGTACCCTCTACTTATACATGACCTCTTCTAACATTACACTATTAGGTTTCCCAACAAGTCGCGTCGTTCCATTTCCAGACCTGGTTTTTCAACCAGAACTCGACGGTCGAGCACCATTACCTGAGATCTAGGTCGAAATTTTTTTATAGCCGAGACATTGAAAAACTAGTAGAATTTAAAGAACAAGTCATGACTAAGTTAGGAATGTACGCCTGGTTGATTTTCTCATCTTCTCAGGGATAATTTTTTTCAAAGAAATGCGGTCACTTTCGTGGATAAAACACCTAAAATTCGAACTAATTCCCAACAAACATAAAAACAAAACAAATGAGCGAATAGAGCAGAAGAAGTGCTCACAAAAGGAACACCACTCGATATGAAACAATGGCGTAGCCTGCGAAATGGGAGGTCCCGACAAAAATTGACCAAACCGACAACTAGCTCTAACTTTATTTTCCCTGGGAGAAATCAATCAATGATGTACCCTCTACTTACTCATGACCTCTTCTGAACATTCCACCCTTAGGTTGCCGAAAAAGCTTTGCCCTGTTTCTTTTCGAATTGGCTGACCGATAAGCCATAGCAATTTTCAATTAATTCCTCGTGAA